TCTATCTATCTATCTATCTATCTATCTATCTATCTATCTATCTATCTATCTATCTATCTATCTATCTATCTATCTATCTATCTATCTATCTGCATCTCTATCTGCATCTATCTATCTCTCCACCCCAGGGGCCAGAAGCTGTTCTCTTTTCAACCATTCCTCCAAAGATTCACAGGGGGTCCTTGGATTTATGTCTAGTTGCTAACTTCCATAGTCACATGACTTCATTGTACAGCATTTTAACCCAGAACTGGCCTTTAAACTTCTAGTATTTTACAAAACCAAAAACAGTGAACAACTGGTTCACTTAATGACCATTGGGTTTGCTTAATGAGAGCAGCAAAAGATTGTCAACTTGGATCAGTCACACGGGGAAGCTGCTTTATGACCATCATGGCTTAACCCCTGTATTGGGCAGGATCCATTATGGTCGTAAGTTGAGGACTGGCTATATCTATTTAGGAAAAGCAAAGGACAAAGTGATGGGGGGGGGAGATGGATGAATACTACAAATTCCTTCGGCTTCTGATGTCTGGGCAGAGAGCACTTCCCTTCTACCGCAAAATCTACACCCCTCTGGAGCTGTGTTTCTCCATCCTGACCCCTTGAAGACATGTGGACTTCAACTCCCAGGATGTCATGCTGACTAGGGAATTCTGGGAGTTGAAGTCTACATGTCTTGAAGTGGCCAAGGTTGAGAAACCATTTTGTCCATCCTCAATCTGATTCCGTCAACAGATCCCATTAGGTTAATCATCTCCTGGACATCCAACCACCTCTTCCATCAGCTTGATGGGAACCAAACTTCCCCCAGAGTGTCCGCAGGGAGGTTGGTGCAGATGGTAGCCACCATGACATAACTGAAGCTCTGTATATAACAGAGGTGGTGGCCATCACCATCTTGACTATTCTGTCTCTCCTCTGCAGACATTTCCACCATTGTCCTTGGTTTCTTCTCAGTTTCTTCAACTACAAGAGCTGCTACCATCCTACTTGATCAAAAATGCACAGTCTTCACCCACCAGGTGAGCAGACATTCAAACCTTTGGGTTCCCATTGGCCACTGTTCTCCCCCCCCAAAACTGCAGCGGATATAGAGAAGGAAGGGTGCATAAATCTCTCCTGGCCAACCAAAAGAAGAATGATCAACGTACCTCCACCAGGATTTCCTTTAGGCGGTCCGCCCCCATGGTGTCTCTCATTCGGGTCATCAAAAGCATCGGCCAAGTCAAAATCCATGGGGTCTTTCCCTATAAAATTAGCAGATCAGCTCCTGAGGGTGTTATTGTTTCTAGCATCACCACTCTTCCACTAAGAAAGACTTAACCTCTTAGGAGAAGTAAGAAAAAGGTTTGAAGAAATCTACCCAGGCTTCCCGTAATCCCTACAATATTTCCTAGGCATAGTTTTGCCCCTTGGTTCCTCTTGAGTTCGATCTGATGCATGTAATGGTCACCACCTCTACACAAGACCAGCCATTCCCATCTGCCCGGCTCCAGATCTCTTGAATTCCAAATCATCACCAAGATCTCAGCCAAGGGAGAACCCCAGGCCTTGCAGCCAACCCCTCCACGTGGAATTCAAGGGTCAGAGTTGGTGAAGGCTTTTCTATAAACCAGACTGAATGTCAGGAAAACACAGATATCAAGTTTCAATCCTCAAATTCAGCCTGGGAACCCTAAATCCTCCAAGGCTAGCTATCTAATATATTGTCTTCTCCTATCTACCTATCTATAGATCCATCCATCCATCATCCAATCATCATCCATCTATGTAACCATCTAACCATCATCCATCCAACCATCATCCATTCAACCATCATCCATCCAACTATCATCCATCCATCCAACCAACCAACCAACCACCTAAGCATCCATCCATCTATATCCCTCCCTCCCCAGATCCCAGGATTATCTTCAGAGATCTTCTACATTGTCCTGCCAAACAGGAGGAAGCAGAGAGAATAGCTCTGGTAAAAGAGAAGACCTTTCCAAGGGAGGACACCCCGCACTTAACACCCCACCCCGGCCCTGCTCTGTTCTCTTCTCCTGCAGTACCAGGTGCAGCTCCTGTTCTGCCTCCCCACCTCCACCCCTGCGGAGTCCCAAGGGAGCAGGCGTTCCTTCCCAGATTCCCAATGGGGCCTTTGAGGGGGTCACAGTGGCTAAACGTTACCTTGAGTCTTTTTGGGGGGCGGCTTGGTGGTTTTGGGCTGCTTGGTGGTGGTGGTGGTGTGAGGGATGTTCCAGCCGCCGTCATCTGCAGATGGGAGGACACAGAGCCTTCAGCCCAGCAGGCCCAGCGCTCAACGTAGCCCAGCCCTCCCCAGCCGGTTCCCCTTCCAAAGAGGCCAAATACAGGCTGGATAAGCTGCTGGTTCAACCTTCTTAGCTCATGTTAGGCAAAACGGCCACCTGGCTCTCCCCCCCCCCCCCGTTTTCATCCCAGCTTGACAGTTTTTATTATTTCCACTATATAGCTTTTAATATTTCTAGACCAAATTTGGAGTCAAAGAGGTGACCTCCGTATGTGCTCAGATGTCTAGATTCAAAGAAATCCCCCCCCCCCCAGCATCTGCTTTTATTTCCCTTTCTGGGCATCATCCTGCCTATCCCTGGTGGGATCCCAGCCCAATTCCCACCAGATCCAATCCTCCTTGGGCGTTAGAGGTTCTGGCTTCACTGGGTTTGCTTGGAAGCTGGTGTGTGGACTGTGGTCACCCTTGTTGTTTTGTAACGCATAGCAGTATTCACAATTAAATAGTCTACTTGTATACAGGGAGGGAAGGAAGGAAGGGGCCAAGACAGGAAGGAGGGGAGGAAGGGAGGGAGGGAGGGAAGAAAAAGGCAAGGGAGGAAGGAGGGAAGGGGCTAAGACAGGAAGGGAGGGAGGGATGGAAAGGAGGAGAGAGGGAGGGTGGGAGAGGAGAAGGAAGGAAGAAATTCTTTGCCACCCAGAGTCATATTTCCACCCCATTAAATGGGGGGCCCTCCCCCCACTGCCAGGGCTTGAGGAGAGGCAGCCCAGCGTCCAGCCTTCCCAGAAGCAGGATGCCCTTACCTGGTTTCCTGGGATAAGGGCCAGTGGTGGCCTTGGCAGGCCTGGTGGTTCTCTCCGGCGGGGAATCAAAGAAATCCATCAGGTCGAGTTCGCCTGTTCGGGAAACCAAGGAGCCAGAATAAAGGGCTTCTTACTGCAGGGGAGAACAGACCCCCCCCCCCCGGCCACTTCCTTTCTGCAATGTAACCCCCACCCTCCCTTTTATTTTCATTCACACACACACACACACCCCAAAGGGTGATGCCACTGTGCTCTTGTCTGCTGCTACAGGTTAGTGCCCTTGTATCCCCCCAACCGCCCTCCCAGGTAGGCCACCGTCATCTTCTTTTAACGACCCCATAATCTCTTTGGGGGGGGGGGGGGAGAGTCTGGGCAACTGAATGTTTACTGGCCGGATGCCCTTCCTGTCACTAATGAAGAGTGTTTTTCATCAGATACATT